ACAAGTTCTAAAAAAACAATATTTATATGTAAAGATAAAGGATTTTATACGCATTAATAGATTCTTTTGTTATCAAACTTCATATAATATATGATGATGGTTAATGCGAGAAAGATTATATGTTACATAATTAGAAAATGGTGGATCAAGTTATAGTAATCCAAAAAAAAAGATTTAAACTCTAAAAAGAAAAAAAAAATAAGAAAACATGTGTCAACAAACTGCTCTTTCACATGTCATAAAAAGAGAAATTGTTTTAGGAAAATTAGGTGCTATAGTTAACAAAAAAATTCATAATTCACAAAGTAACCAAATCATATATTTCTCTTCGTTTTCTTCCTATCTCTCTCTCTGCCTTTTCTTTATAAAACTAATTTTTTTCTTAGTTATGTCACAAATAAATCCAAAAATTTACTATACTTAAACTATAAAAAGTAGAAATATATAAAAATATCTATCAGCAAACTGCTCTTTCACATGTCATAAAAAGAGAAAAAAAAAATTACTTTATATATAAATATTATATAACTGAACGTGTTTTATTCGTTCAACTGTACATATAAAACACTCTCATTTAGTACTCGCAATAGTTACTCTTAATTATAAACTAAAAGACATGGTGTTAATAGAAAAAAAAAACTAAAAGACATTTCTTTTTTTGACAAAAAAAAAGATTATTTGCTGCAACATGTTTTGACTTATTCTATTTTATTGACCAAAAAGTCTTTTTGTCTCTCTCCTCTTACACAGGTCCTTGTGGTTAAAAAAAAAAAGATAAAACAGGTCCTCGAATAGATGATAAAGCAGGTTCTATATAGATAAAATAGGACCAATATATTTTCCCTTTGATTCAGAAGATTGCTTCCGCTCCAAGATCCAAATATCCACCGACTGAATAAAGAGTAAATTAGTTCGCTTCTTATTTATCACCATGTGCAAGACTATGTAACATTTAGATTTCTAGAATTTAATCATGTATGTAAATAAGATTAATATAATTAGTTTGACTATTTGTGTTTCCATCATTTGTCTTTAAATAATAGAAGATTAAATGTGTTTTTAATAAGCATATAGTTAATTAGGGGATATATAAAAAAAAAATGATTCCCTACACGTAAGTGATATCAAAGCTCAAAAAGAATAATATGTGATGATTATAAAGCATTAAACAAGTATTTCAAACATTTTAATATCTATATTATTAGAGTTGTCATTGATTTGTGAGATAATTACAGTATCATTCTATTATTCTATTTATGCATAGCATATATCATAAACATCGATCAAAAAATTAATTAAGAAAATACTCCGAAACTAAAAGTAACTGAATTATGTACAGTAAAAAAATTATAAATAAAAAATTTGATAAATTAGTAAAGTATTCGATCTTACTCATTCAAAATATTGATACAATAGATAAATAATAAGATAATAACCTTTTTTAAAATATTATATAAATATATAGTCTATTATAATTATAAATTAATAATTTATAAGCATAAATTACGTTTGTTTTACATTCATAAGAAAATTATCTTTATAAGTCTTAACATTTATTTAATTTGATGAGATTTGGTAAAATATATCTAAAACCACATTTGAATTCTATGAGACATACTTTATATACACCAAATAATATAATAATACTAACAGAAATTTTAAATTTTAAAAATTAAATATTTTCATATTTTATAAAAATATCTTAAAATATAAATCTCTGAAAAATAATTTTTTTTGTAAATTTGTAATTTTATAAATTAATAAAATATTTAAATTCTAATAATATTAATTTATAAATTTTACTGTAAAATATTACTTTTTGTATCGTTTTGCTTTCAATATTTCTTATCCTAAAGATTATTTACATGAATCTTTAAAACCGTACACATTAGATTTTTTATATAATAATTATTAAAAATATTATTATTTGGTAGTTTAGAGTTTTTTATAAATACTAAACTTAACACTATCTATATTTTTAATAATAATAATAATGAATAATTTTAAAATGTTTAAAGCAAAGGAAAAATAGAAACAACCTAAAGGAGGAAGAATGGAAGCCAACCACCGAAAAATTATAATCTAAGCTAGAGACCAGAAACAGTCTTCACCACCCACACAATGTACACAGAGTAAAGCACTATCCAAATGGTAAACATGAGAGTCACCACAGACACGAGCAAAGAAAAAAACTACAATGATATGAGAGGACAAAGAGGAAAGAGAAGCAAAGCGAAATCATCAAACATGGAGCCAAATCTTGAACTATGAAAGAGAACATAAAAATCAGATCACTAAGCCAAATCTTGAAAATCAAAATGAGCTGGGTCTATGGCGGCAAGCCAATAACAAAGAAAACAACATCAAAGATGACTAAACTCTAACCTAACCAAAAAAGATGCAATTCCTAACATCAGCTGAAACATAAGGAAGAAGAGCAGTATGCAATATTTACCGCACAACTGCGAACTCATAAACCAAAATTACAACAAATACCAGATAAATTCACAGGAAAAGAAGGCAATAAAGAACAAGAGTATAAAGTAAATCTTTTACAGGTGAAGTTGAAAAGCATCGCACACCGGAAAGATAAACAAATTACATTAGATGATGACGGTTCATAGTCAAAATATGAAAACAATGGCACAAAACATTTTAAAATAATAATGTTCAAAAATATAAAAAATTAAATATAATTTTGACGATAAAACCGTTAATCTTAGAATAATGCAAAGTTATTAAAATGCAATATACTTTACATCAGAGACTAACTTTAACATTAACAAATATATACACACAGCAATGCATTATTGAAAATCAACTCAAAAATATATTAAACTACCACCTTCTACTACATAACATAATAAAAAATACAAAATAGTGCTTAACAAATATAGACGACCACATAATTATATCATCCAAAAAATCATAATTAATAACAATAAAACAATTTTGAGCGGACACGCCCCTAATCTATATAATAATAGTACACTTTTGAAGCTCCTCAGCGTGTCCACATCAGCAAGTTTGCGGATCCCGCGCGTGTTATTAGGCAAAACAAAAACGTATAACATTTTGTAAGATTTAATGTTATTGATGAGTGATGAAATGGCCCAGTGGTGTAAGTTGGTGACAAGAAGTTGGTACCGGGAGTGCGCGGGTTCGAAACGCAGTGCTTGCATGTAATTTTTTTTTTTTTTTAATTTGGGCTTTTCGGGATACCTAAAAGCTTACGGAGATTCAGAATGATTTTTATGCTGGTTGTTGGGATACAAAATGGCTTAAGGATTTGAAACTTTATGAGACCATCTTAGATACTTTTATAAGAAATGTTATCATGTTCTAACCTCCAATATCATTTCAATTCAGTTATAATCATCAAATAAAATAAAGACATATTTTTCAATAATAAATATTTACCCCGAACCATTTAGATCAGCCATAAATCTCATATACATCACAATTAAAAAATATATATATATATACAACATAATTTCAGAAAGAAAATTACACTAATAAACACATGTCATTTTTTGTCTTGTTTCCATTAAATTATTTTTTTACATGAAAGCACTAATAACAGTAATGCTCGATAAAATCACTAATAAAGGGAATGCTCGATAAAATCACTACGAAGATAAAATATGAAATTATCAACCCATATGAATTCGATGTTTATTCTTTTATCAGACTAATCAAGTTGTGTGACTTCTAATGTTTCATTCATCACCATTATAGATAAACCAGATAAACAAATGTTAAAAAAAAAACAACAAAGTCTCATACACAAAACGGCACAACACATCAACAACATATCCAACCCCGCGCTTGCGCGGGGACTATGCATCTAGTTGTAATAATATTTCGCTGTTTAAGATGGAGTACAAAATATTCGAAATTGATGTATATTTTGTTCTACACCGCGTATGCGGTGGGTAGCTCACGTGGTAAGCTTTTCTATGAATTGACTTCTACGAATTTATTTGTTATAAATGGTCTCAACCACAAGTCCACAAGGTGTCAAGGACAACACATAAATCTAAAATAACTAGTACAGTAATAAACTACTGACAAAAAAAACTAGTAATAAGCTAAAAATATTTATTTTCTTTTAAAAATACTAGTGATATAACATTTAGGGTACCGAACTTAAAATATAGAAACAACTATTTAATAATTAATACATTCAATATAAATAATTATGTCAAAATATTTTTGTTTGTAAAATAATGAATTCTAAACCTTCAATTTCAAATCATGAATAGCCAGCCTTAAGGATCTAAACTTGAATTTGTAACTGTATAATCCAGAAGTTATATATGTAATTATGTCATTTAATCAATGTTAGCTTGATCATTTTTTTTCTTTGTACTATTTTATGAAAAAAAATACTTTGTGCAAACCTAATGTATTTTAAAATATAAATTAACACTCAAATGTATTAATTGTTGTGTTGTTTTTCGTATTATATCCAGCTTTGTTATATAATTATATATGGTAGGAACAAGTCAAATATAAGACATAACACCAAACTACACTTTCAAATAAGGTGTAAATACAAATATAATATTTTACACAAGGTAGTAAATATAAAACTTATAACAATCTTGTATCAATTGTATAGAATAAATTTATTCTACGTTTTGTTTAATGAATAGATTTGGAAAAGTATGTTTCAATGTTGAAAAATTCGTCCTTGTAAGAGGGTGAGGAATAATCACATTTGTCATTTATTATTTATGGTCGGAGGAATTAAATATTGAAGAATAGTGAATAGGAAGCATTTTGCGGAAATTTAATAACAGTAGACGAAGATACGAATATGTTCTACGGCTGAACCCTTGGAGATACCAAATCAACACGACGACAAGCAACGAGACACGTGGATGGTTGTAATTAAACATAATGTTCAAATCTTCATAAAAAAAACAAAGCAAAACAGAAAATCTTTTACGTCTTAACCAACAAAAATAAAAGTCGAGGTTATTTACAAAGATACCCTCGTCTCCTAGCTCAAGACACTGATAAATATGTAACAAGTCGATACAGAGCTTTTTATCTCTTATCCGAAATCCAATTGATCTCAAGTAAAGCCCGAAACGGGTATCCTATAAGTTTGAGTTTTCATATCTTAAAGTTAGCTTCTATCAACAACAAACAGTCTAAACTTCTTTTTATTTATTTATTATTGAGTGTGTAATTCTGCGGTGTTGATTGATTTTGGTATTGGAATTGGAAATGGTTAGGGAGAATTCAGAATCTGGAGATCGGTAATTAATCAGAGATGGTAGATAGGGAAGAGAAGGAGGAGCAGCGTGGTGGGGTGGTGATGGGGAAGTACGAGGTGGGGAAATTGGTGGGATGTGGGGCGTTCGCGAAAGTGTACAGAGGGAGGGAGACAGGGACGGGGCAGAGCGTAGCGATCAAAGTGGTGAGCAAGCAAAGGCTGAACAAGAATGGGGGAGGCCTTAACGCCAACGCCAACGTCAAGAGGGAGATCGCTATCATGCACCGCTTGCGTCACCCTTACATCGTGCGCCTCTCGGAGGTGCTCGCCACCAAATCCAAAATCTTGTTCGTCATGGAATTCGCCAAAGGCGGGGAGCTCTTCGCCAAGGTCTCCAAGGGCAGGTTCTCCGAGGATCTCAGCCGCCGCTATTTCCAGCAGCTAATCTCCGCCGTTGGTTACTGCCACTCACGCGGCGTATTTCACCGGGATCTCAAGCCTGAGAATCTCCTCCTCGACGAGAAGCTCAATTTGAAAATTTCTGATTTCGGACTAAGCGCCCTCTCCGAACAGATCCGACCCGACGGACTCCTTCACACCGCCTGTGGCACGCCCGCCTACGTGGCGCCTGAAGTCCTGGCGAAGAAAGGATACGACGGTGCTAAAGTCGACGTGTGGTCATGTGGAGTGATACTGTTTGTGCTCAACGCAGGCTATCTACCTTTCAACGACCATAACCTAATGGTCATGTACAGAAAAATTTACAAGGGAGAGTTTCGCATTCCCAAGTGGACCTCGCCTGATCTCCGCCGACTCCTCACTCGCCTCCTCGACACCAACCCTCAGTCCCGGATCACCATCCAAGAGATCATCCAGGATCCCTGGTTCAAACAGGGCTACGACGACCGGATGTCCAGATTCCACCTCGAGGACTCCGACTTGAAACTCCCGGCCGCCAACGAGTTGGGAACAAGGCCGATGAACGCCTTTGACATCATCTCTGGCTCTCCTGGTTTCAATCTCTCCGGTCTCTTTCACGGTAATTACGATCGAGTCGAGCGGTTCGTGTCGGGTTGGACGGCTGAGAGGGTGGTGGAGAAGCTGGAGGAGATGGCGGCGGGGGAGGATGATGATCTAACTGTGGCGAAGAAAGAAGCGTGGGGGATGAAGATTGAAGGGCAAAGAGGTAATTTCGCGATGGTTGTGGAGATTAACCAGCTAACGGACGAGCTGGTGATGATCCATGTGAGGCAGCGACAACGAGCCGCTGCATCTGGACGTGATATGTGGTCAGATACGGTGAGGCCTTTCCTCCTGGACATTGTCCACAAACCGGACGAGACGGTGGCCGGTTTAGAAACAAACCAAAACAAGGAAGGTGCTTCTTCTTTGCGTGACGTCGTGAATACCACGATGCCATTGTAGTTTTAGGTATCTGTCATAATCATCCAACAAGAAACATAATTAACAAAACTTCTCCACAGTTTTTCTTTTTTTTTTTGTACTTTAATCGTAATTATCATGTGTATATATATATATGTTTTGATGGTCTAATATATCTCCACATAAATGACGTTGTTGGAAATAAAATCTCACATTGGATATATGACTTCAGACTTTTTATCCTATTTGGTTAAGCAAGACAAATTTAACATCATATTAATTAGAGTAGGTTTATACTTTATACTCTAACCCATTAATTCTCTTTCAAAAGTGACTAGATTATCTCTCTAATTAATGATCGAAATAACTATAGAAAAAATATTATTGTAGTATTATATTGAAATTAATGATTATATTATCCATTATTATCTCCAAAGAAAACATTCGAGAAAAATTCATATATTAAATATGAAAAAATAATAATAATATAGAAGTGATTTGAAAAATTAATTATCGCCAATTACTTTTTAAGTTGAAAGTTAAGAAATTCAACAATTATGTAAATGGTTTAGTAGAATTGGGATGAGTCAGAATATAGAAAAGAAAAGAAAAATGTTCTTGATGGCAGAGAAGCTGCCGTGAAGTTTTCTGGTGGCTCGAATTCACAGCATCAATACTATATATTGAGTGCATTATGTGATTCGCAAAACGTTAAGAGGAATGTGCTCTAATAAGGAGTTGAGAGATAATGGTAGCCGCACAAGTGCGTTTTGCAAAAGTGAAATTTGTCAATGAGTGAAAGCCAACTGTTCAGATTTGAGGCCATGAGAACTGAGAAGTAACGAGAGTACATTAACCTTTTTGATAAGTAAGAGCTTGTCCTTATCGCATTGTGAATATATATAGTTGGTTGTCTGACTTTGTTTAGTCCTATCGCATGTGGCACCCAACACCAATAATTCTCATCAATAATTCCCATTTTTCTTTCCTTCTATCCACATTGAAACCATTACTCAATAATTCAGCATTTATAATTGACATAATTAACATATCACTTTCCGTGCTATAATTTGTCTCCAAGCCTTATCTAAATCATTTTACTCTACGATCACATCTTACACTTTTGTATTGATTGTCTTGTTCATGCTAACTGTGTCTATATGCACCCAACTTATGTGGATAAACATAACTAAAGACACAAAACTAATCTAACTAACTTTTCATCGGGCCATTAATTTTTTATATATATATATACATATATATAACATTTTTATAGCAAAATATGAAATCAAAGTAATTGCTTTTGGTTAAAAAAATAATTACTATGTCACTACAATTCTACACAAAGCCGTATTCAAGCAAGCACTTTGTCAGAGATACAATTTAAACCGACATCTCAGTTCTTTCAGCTTATTTTGTAAAATGATTTCCTAATATCCTTGAGGAAAATGTGATTGTTTTAATATGGCAGTTAATAATTTGTAAAAGAAAAACAAAAATGAAATTAAGCAGTAGTTATGTTCTTTGGCTAAAAAGTGTCTTAATCAGATAGTTAGAGCAATAAATTGGGGTGGTTTCTGCGGCTATCCAATTTGCTGGCCCACTGAAAAACTCTAATTAAGGTGATGATTATTTGCATTAGTTTTTAGTTTTAGTTTTTGGTTTTTAATTTTTAGTTTTTTGGTTTTCAGTTTTCATCTTCTGGTTTTGGTTTTCTATTTTAGGTTTCGGTGTTTGGGTTTTGCTGTATATTTAAAATAATAGCAATAAAATTTAGGAGTTGCCATGGAAATTTATCAAAATATAGTTATTTTTATGTTTAAAAAATAATACATTACCATGTTTTCAAATTATTTTATTTTAAAAGTTATACTAAAATATATAAATCATAAAATATCTATAAATTATGAAAAATTAAAATTATTTTAACAATTTGAAACCATTTATAAATTTTATTATCTAAAATATATATTTTTTAAAACTTGAATGGCTATTATTAAAATTAATATAAAATATTGTATTAATAAAAAGTTTATAATTGTTATTTTTAGTGTGTCTAATAATTATTATATGTAATAATTAGTATAATTATTTAATAATTTTAATTTATAAATTAATAAATATATGCTTAGAATTAATTATTATTATTATATATAAATATCTAAAAATATTTATAGATATGAAACATAAACAACTTATTCTGTATAAATTTTTAAATGATATCTTTTTGAAAAAAGTTTGTATGAGAATTTTATCTTTAGAGAAAATATTATTAATTTAATTATTAATTAATTAAAATATAGTACTTTATACAAATGAAATACAATTGGTTTTTATTAGAAATCCATAAACTAAAACTAAAAACTAAACTTGATTAGATGAAAGATGACTTTTGAAAACTAAAAACCAATAACTAAAATAACACAAACAATCATCACCTAGGAAAAATCTCTATCAATATTTTTTAGTAGTTAAGATTTAAAGATTTCTACACCAATTTTAAAATTCAAATCCCATGCATCATGAAAATTGTACATTATAGGAGATCCATGTTTTGATCCTTGGAGATCCATGTTTCGATGGAGAAAATAATTTATTAAGCAATTATGCATACTACAAAAAAAGAGTTTACAAAAATTCTTTAATATATTATAAGTAAATCAGGTGAGACGTAGATCTTGATAAGATATATAGTATTATCGGTTGTCGAATAATCTATATATATTTTTTAACAATTATTCTATCATAATAAATTAGTGTTAAGAAAATCAAAGAAAAAAAAAACGTATTGATTGTGATGAGCTGAGTGTAGTTTATTGGAGCCCGCGTATTAAATGAGCTTGTTCATCTAGTCGACGATGAATATGAAAGACATTTTCCAAATAATCATTAAATATCAATACTCTTTTCATTAATAATCATATAATCGACATATATTACACTCTTTCCCTATACAAATGACTGATGTTTTAGTTTTTATTTGTATACAGAAATTAATGTTCTACTTTTAATCAATACATCTTATTTTAAAAATAAAATATAATTTAAAATATGAAAACATGAGTGGTTGAACTTTTGGAAAATAAATAAAACTAACAAAACTAATAACTCAAAGTATGTATTTAAACTTTTATCAATGTGTGCAAATTTGTGGATCATAAAACACGCTCTAAGTATTTGATAATGATTATTTGTAAAAGAATAGAGAAAAAGTAATGTGGACAACAATATCCTCTAAATACAACGATATAATAAGATTTTGTTTATTGACTGGTTCTTCATCGGTTTTGGGGTTTCTTGATTATCCATTGATGGGCCTTACTCATTGGTTTCTCGTAAATCGAACTATCGGGCTCGACGCCTATGAGTTTCTTCTTATCGAGCTGCCAACATATGACTCCTTATGTTAACAGGCCTGTATCGTTGGGCCTCCTTTCCCGAGTCAACCTTTTGGATCCAACAATATCTTTGTTAAACAAATAAGTTATCTTCATGGAACGGAGAGAAACTACTTTTCATATAGGGAATGAGTTCATTATACAACTCGAAAACAAGTCTTAAGATCACCAGAATCAAGAATGAATACATAAACACTTTTGTAAAAAAACATAAAAAAAAAAGAAGAAGATAGAATAGCAGTAGAAGAAGAGTACTTTCAGTGCCAAGCCAATACAATGTCCATCAGAGCCGGCCTTATAGTCTCCTTCATCAATCTCTTATACTCCGCCGTATCTCCACCGCTCTTCCTCATCACCACCATATGGAAGCTTGGCGCAATCTCAAACACCTCCGCTTCGACCCTTGGACCCGCTTTTTTGCCTTCCATCTTCACCCTCCATCCTTGTAGCTCCTTGGTCACTTTCATCTTAAGTTCCCTCCCAACCTCCACCAGCTTCTCTGTGATCTCTGACGCCTCTCGGTTGGACGTAAACCTCATCTCCTCCTTTTCTTCACCTTTCTCAAACAGTCCCGAGAGATCAAACCCTGTGGAGAGCGAAATGATCTCAAAGGCATTCAGGTTGATACACTGCTGCTTCTTTGCCTTGTCACAGTCCATTATTGGCTCTGTGTCCACCACCACTTCTTGGGTCTCTGCATCAGCAGCTACGTCTCTCTCCTCTTCTAGGCCTTTCCGGAACCAAGAACTCTGCATGATCTTCTCGGTTGAAATCCTGGTGTTGGGGTTAGGATCCAAGATCCTTTTGAGCAGCCTCTTAGCCCCAGGAGCAAACCAGTTGGGGAACTTGAACTCGGCTTTACCAATCTTCTTGTACAAGTCAATGAGGTTGGAGTCACGGAAAGGGAGATAACCGGCGAGGAGCACGAAGAGAATGACTCCACAAGACCAGACATCGGCTTTAAAACCGTCATAGCCTTGCCTGCTGATGACCTCAGGTGCAACGTAAGCAGGGGTGCCACAGGTAGTGTGGAGCAAGCCATCAAGGCGTCTAGAGTCAGCAAGAGCGCTGAGCCCAAAATCAGAGACTTTGAGATTGCCATGCTCGTCCAAGAGGAGATTCTCAGGCTTCAAGTCCCTGTGGCACACTCCGAGGCTGTGACAGTAGTGAAGAGCATGCACAAGCTGTTGGAAATACTTTCTAGCGACGCCTTCCTTGAGCTTACCGGTGGAGACTTGGTCGAAAAGCTCACCGCCCTTAACGTGCTCCAGGACGAAGTAGATTTTAGATTTAGTGGCCATGACTTCATGGAGCTCGACAATGTTTGGGTGAGACAAGAGTCTCATGACAGAGATCTCACGCTTGATCTGGTCGCTCATACCACCAACTTTGAGGAGTCTGTCTTTATCGATGACCTTGATAGCCACACCGTCCCCGGAAGTGAGATTCCTGGCATGGTAGACCTTGGCGAAGGTACCCTGCCCAAGTAGCTTGCCAATTTCATAACGGAGCATCAGAACACTCCCTTTCTTCTCCATAGATGAGGGCACTCTAATACTACTACTACTACTACTAATAGAACTAATAGAAAGGATAGAATATATATATAAAAAGAAAAAAAAGAAGAAGAAAGTCAAGGATCAGCCGTCCTCGCATAAGTCATGCATCCAAGTGGCGATTTTTCTAACATTGTGAGAGGAAGAAGGGTGGAAGGTGGTGTCATGTGGGATGGGGGATGATAGAGAAAAGAAGGGAGGAGAAGGGAGGTGTAAAGGAGCAGTAATAGAAGAGCACTTGTGTTCAGCTTTGAAATACATGTTTCTGCATTCCCTCTCGGTTCCCCCCTCTTTTGAAGAAAGATGATATGATAGAGATCAACCCCCTGATACATGAAAAAATCCCTTTTTAAACGAATGCTAATTAATATAGATCGCAACTACATATATGAAGATGCAGAGTGGCACTAAACCAAATCTCTAATAAGCAAGAAAAAATCTAACACCAAATGCGATTATAAGACACAAAATATAGATCCAAAATTATAGCGAGGATGCAAAGAATCTCTTAGATTATATTTTGAGCTAGATGAAAATGGGAATCCGACGCAAAAGAACAAGATTAAACCAAAGAGAATGAAGAAGAATCACCTTGAGCCGAAGAGATACGAGAGAGAGAGATGTGCGTGCGACAAATGAAATGACCAAAGCTAAACGAAACGAAACGAAACAGGCTTAGGTTATTATTTATTATTGTGTTATAGGAGGAGAGGAGAGCCTTTCTTTGTCTCTCTGTCGAGTAGTTTTTTTTGTTTTTATAAGTTTATTCGCTGTAATTTTCTAATTTTATAAAACGAAACAGTCTGTTTTTCCTTTTGTCCCTTTTTGCTAACAAATCTTGTCCTCTTTGCACACGCATTTGTTTATTGGGTGGTGGTTACTGCATCAATTACATTATCTTTCTTTTCTTTATTTTTAAATCATGATTACCACTCACCTAACTTTCCCTCTTTTCGTTTTTACCCTTCTTTCGTTTCTTGTTCATTTTGATTCACTTTCTTCTCTTATTTGTCTATATTCACTGTCTCCTTGTGGTCAATTTACGGAATTATATCATCCTCTTAAATTATTTGGTCAACCATTCCACTTTTTGAAGATTGAAGACAACGGATTCCATGTCACTATACTTATCTCTTCTTGTAAAATATAAGGTTAAAAATCGTTAGGAGAGAGGGAGAGAGAGAAAGAGATGAGGTGAGATTCCTATCAAGATACGGTCACAGGCGCCAACTTGCCCAACTTGGTCTAAACACCCCTATGGTAAATTATCCTTAATTGGATTTTCTTTTTATTGTTTCCACCATTCTACTGCTTTTGTTGAAGTCAATGTTTTTTTTTTTTTTTTATGATTCAAATGACCTCATCTCTCTGTCTTAAATTAGTTCAATTTCCGCTGTCCGATCGCTGATGAGTTTATTAAGTCCAATCTAACTCTCACTCTTTTTTATTCTTTTTTTCGTTAGTTTTCTATTTGTAGATCCATCCAGTACGGTGAAGGCTGGCTATTAAACCCTTGACTTTTGAGCCTTTAAATGTCATACTTTAACTGCTAGACTAAGAAAAACTTTGAATATTAAATGCTATTAGCTTATAATATGGAGGGTCGGAAATCCATGTTTCCCTAGCTTCTCCTCGGGGCTGACATGTGCAGATCAAAACATGATGTGTTGCTCTTGCTTTGCGTTTGAACATTTGGAATGTTCATCCCCCCCCGGATGTTTAACAAAACCAAGATATCTCCATGCATACTGGCTGCTTGCGATGAACATCTTCATATTGCTGATTTTTTTTTTTTTTAGTACTTTGGATGTCACCTTTTCAGTGCATGATTGTAGAACACTGTTTGGAGAGCTAAACTGGATCTTATTCACTACTGTTATGGGCCCCATCACATCACATGGAATGTGCCTCCTCGCAGCACTTCCCACCAAGGCGACACTGTTGACAAAAAAAAGGAACTGATGGAGGCCAAAACTCTAAGTTTGACTTGTTGTTTTATTTTCACCATTCCTCATGAAATTAAATTTACATGCGGAGAGGATGATGCGGTCAGCGAATTGCCTAACCTTTCACCCTTACCAAGCGGCAGGGGCTGCTGCTTCGTTTGTCTTCTCTTTTTTTTTTTTTTTTTTTTTGGACAAAGATCGTTTGTCATTCTTATTACTTATTAGGTGTATATTTTACTGAATTTGGTTGTCTTCTCTTTGTTTCTTTGAACTGATCGTTTGTCTCCTTATTAGGTGAAAATTTGACTGAATTTGATCCATTTAGCCTCATGATGAGAAAGATACAAGCAAACACTAATTAATCAAGAAGGGAGAGAGGCTTTACCAAAACAAACTTGTGTATCGCCTTTAAATGCCTCTGTGAATAGTTCTCTTTGATCTCTGTGTATGTGTGTAATCTTCCATCTTTCCTGTGTCTTTCTGTTTTATTATTATTGTCTATTCCTCTTGTCTTGTGTAAAGAAAAGGACACAAGTACTAGTCTCCATGAACTCGAACCCTTAATCACATCTATTGTTATTAATTTAAACATTACGCGACGATAACATATCAATAGTTGAAGATCATTGTTTTTTACAAGTGGAAAGAAGAACACACCAAGTTATTTAAGAAGAAATCCCACATTACAAAGTGCAACGTATCAACAAGAGTTCAGAGAACGTACAAGGGACAATACAAAACCAAAATTAAAGCATAACTAAAAAGGAGGCGAGGGTGTTTTTGATCAGCTGCTGCCAGCGCGGTCTTCTCTGTTAACATCATCGAGAATGACGACGAGGGAGGCAATAAAGGCATAATCCACGTTTGGATAAACCGTCACCGAGAAATTATCTTTTCCCAAGAACACGCTCTGCACCGTGTGCTTCTTGTGCATCTGTTTTTTTTTTCATATACAAAACAACCATTTCATTATATATATAATCACCAACCAACTCACAAATTCTAGGCCAATTTTCGTTTAATACGTGTCAAACTACCAGTTTACATATAAGGCTAAGCTTTATTTTCCGGATCATTTAAACATAACCAAAAAAAAAAAATGATTTGAAAGCAAAACCAAATTTTCTTTTTTTAAACCCATTGATGCTAAACCAATTTTTGAACTAAGAACCGCATATTAACTCGTAGACAAGATGTCACATGTGAGAGACAGAGCGATGACACAAATATTTGGTTAACAAAGATACAGGCTGGCCAATGTGAAAGAGAGAGAGAGAGATAGTTTTACTTGGGCAACGATGGCGTCAGATTCGCCGGCGTAGACGACACAAGAGCGCTCGAGCCAGCTCCCTTTGACTCGGAAATCGCATCTCTTCTCGTCCTTGTTGTGACTCAAAAACACATCAAGTTTGGTCTTTAACTGAAGCATCGACGATCTCTTCACCGTGTACAGCAGATCACTCTGCTCCGTACTCCCTCCTCTAAATACTTGCCACCTGTCATGCAAGCTCATCATCTGCAATACAAGCTTAATTTTAGTTTAAAGCCCTAGGCCCTAGCTTAGCTATTACGTATAAACTAATCTTATATAACTAATTAACTTATGTGTGAGTTACTCTACGGACCTTCTCTTTCAAAGTCAAGACCGGAGATCCAGAAGCATCCAATAAGATCCTCTTGTCGTGAAGGCCAAAGACGGGCTCCTTCACCTTGAACAACAAGTTCCCGTTAACGTCCGTTATAACGAAGTTACCATCAGTCAACTTCATCATCTTCCGCACGATCGCAAGATCCACAGGGTACGGAGCACAGAACCTTGGATCCACTATCACTCCCGCGACGCCCCCTGCTTGTGGAGGCGGAGGAGCCGAAGGGGCTGTGCCTGGTGGGTAAGCGTACACATAAGGCTGCTCCATTTTCTTCTTTCTTCTCCCTCACGAAAAAGTATAATATGCTCTCTTTACGGTTTACCTCTCTACTATTTTTCTGCTTTGAACAATTTGTTTTCGTCTGGTTATGGCCGAGAAGAAAAGTTTAGGAAGGGGTTTCTATATAATCTACAAAGAAAAAACAAATCTGTCTCGAATATGTTAATTGTTGACTTTTAACTTTTTCCTTGAGGAGAAAAGTCTACGCTCATATATCCTTTTTTTATTACATTAGAAATGCTTCAAGAATATGTATATTTTTTCGCATCTTAAAAAGCTACTCTTTTTTCAGAATAAAAAGAAGCTTACTCTCTCTCTTTCATATCACCGGTCATTGTGGATAAATTTATTTTTAATTATCAATATAAAATTTATAAATTTTATATTATAATTTATTTTTATTGGTTGAAATATAATTAGATGTATATATAATTATGTTTTATAAAAAAATAGATAAAATAATTATTTTCTTAATTGAAAGACACAAAACTAAAATAGTACTTAATATAAAACAGAGGAAATAATTCTTTATAATTTCAACACAGTTCAAAAATGGGGACGTTTTTTAACACAGAAACACATGATTTGGTTAACAATGAAAGCATCTCCAATGTCTCTATTTTTATTCTAAAAAAAATTTAAAAGAAATATTTTCAATAGTATTCTATTTTTCATTATACCATAGAATAAAAATGTGTTTACATTATAAATAAAATAGTTCATTTAATTTTTGTTCATCACTCTTTTTCTCTCTAAAATAGAATATAATTAGAATACAACTCAGCTCTATTTTTTCTTTTTAAAATAAAATATTATTAGAATATAATTCAATTCTATTATAGAATTATTCTATTTTTGAAAGAAAAAATAGAAAAAAATGTTGAAGATGGTTTTAAGACCAACCGCATCAGCGATCTGCATGGGCGCAGATTCCAAGGTAAGTATTTTTTTTTTTTTTTTACTTCAAAAACAAAATAAAAAAATTAATAAGCTAACCAATCGCGGGCCGCCACGTGGCGTGGGGCCGCAGAATAGTGATAAACTCGTGATGAACTCGCCTCTTAATGACGACCCAAATTCATGGAAAGAGAGGGGTCCACGAAATTAAAAAATATTTTTTTATTGGTTTCCGTGCGGTAAACTGCGGATGGTCTAAGTACTCGCATGTGACTGTTAGTTATGCTAACTCCATTATAACGAGAAGATCCTAGACCCAGCCATCATTGATTATGACTTATTGACAGAAGAATTCTAGAAAAATTATAAAATTTTGAATTTTCTTTGTTATTAGTTTATGAACTTTTAAAATTTTAGCAAAATCTATTGTTATTGATTTGAATACTTTTAATTCCTTTTAAATCTTTGGTTACTCAAAAAATTTAGTTATCATTGAAAATCTTATGTATAGTTATAAGAATTTTAGAATCTATGTAATAAAAATACAAATATACAATGTACGAAGATCAAGATGTAATGTTGAGTTCACCTAATGTGTATTATAGAAAAAAATTCATAAAATCTCAACTAAATTTTTAAGCTTTTTAACACCTAAATTTTCTTACTACCCAACTTAATACCCAAACTATTTATTTTGCTCATTGTAGTAAACTTATTTTTGCAGTTGTGCTCATTCTAATACCCAAAATATAATTATTTTAATATTAAATTTCAAACAAAATTTAGAAAATTTCTAAAATTCAAACTTATTTCAACTTTTAAGAATATTATAATGATACTTGTAAAAAGCTGAGGATGAAAATTATGTTGCAATGCCAGTTCAGTTGATAATAATATTTTTTTTTTGTTACAATTAAAAAAATTGGAAATATTCTGAGAGGAATTTTATATATTTCTTTATAAAGTTTTCTTGGAAAAAATGTATGTAAATATATGAAAATCGTTCAAAATCAATGGAAATCCATGTAAAATATTTGTTAAGTTTACCTATTTTTTAGGTGACTCATCTGCGGGAATGAAGGTTTATTAAGATTAAGTTGTAATATTTTACGAATATTTATTTTTCTACTTAGTTTTATATTATTTTAGTTAACACTAGATGTTTTAAATTATTTTAATTTATAAAATATTCGATCTATGATATTTCTCTCTAAAATTTTAATTTGGTGTAGTTACTTTCTTATTGTTTGTATGGTTATTTTGATTTAATTTCAAATTTTGTTTATCTTAGTTTATTTTTGGAGTTTGATTTTTTTTGAAAATTTACAAATCACTTGTAAATTTATAATCTAACAAACTCCAAAACAATTTTTAAAAAAAATTTTTTAGACAAATCTAAAATTCAGTTATTTAAACTATAACATAACATTAAAATTTTATTAACTGAAAGAAGATTCAGAATTTTAATCAAAGTTGTTAATATAAAACGCTCAAGTTCTTTTAAGCAAAAAGAGAAAAACACTCAAGTTCTTTTTAAAAACATACATACAACGCGCGCGTGACTAACCCATAAATGAGCAAATTAACAAGGCAAATCAACCAGCAACTTTTACACATTAAAAAATTGTTTAAGACAAATCTAAAGTTTAGTTATTTAAACTATAACATTACTTTAAAAGTTTATCAACTGAAAGAAGATTAATCATTTTAATCAAAGTTGTTAATCTAAAACACTCAAGTTCTTTTAAGCAAAAAAGAAAAAAACACTCAAGTTCTTTTTAAAAACATACATACGACGCGCTTGTGACTAACACATAAACGAGCAGATTAACAAGAGAAACCAACCAGCAACTTTAACACATGCTCCACTAACCAATTAAATCGATCATCTGACTCTGTATTCGTATACGTTACTCCTCGCCGACACATTAATTTGTTAGGTCAAAGGCGCCCACATTCAAGATGATGTCGCTGTAACTCTATCTCTATGCATAATATTGCATTTAAATGGAGCTAATGTTTCTATACATTTAAACACGTACCGTTAAGTTAATGGGGAAAAACACGAACCGTTAAGTCTTAGTTTAAATATCCTTATAATTTTTTTTATAACAAGTGTTTTGTTGGTGTTCAAAAAAACGTGAAAAAATGTGTTTTGTTGTTTCTTACGAATGAAACGACATGCAATAATCTTTTGATGAATAACCATTGGTTAATGAAACAAAGCAGTTAAGGAAATTATGTAGAGCTACGCATAACTCATTTCGATCACCATCCACTTAACAAAACTCTAAAACTGATAGCTAAGTTTTCCAATTCACTCGAATAAAAATTAATCAGGAAATAATATTGAATACAGTGTGTTTTTTGTTCAAACTATCTGTTATCTTTTCGAATTAAATTTAACAAAATAAACAAGTACGCAAACGTAAAGCTGTCCTACATGGCTACAACAACACAATTATTTTAAATTTGGTTTTATAAATAAAGTTTTTCAATGATATATACATAAACTGTAATAGTGTTCTAATTATGGGGAATAGAACTATTACAATTAAATTTGATCTTATGATCCATATAGCCTCATATAAAAAAAAAGAATAAATACTTTGCTCTCAGTCATAAATTGTCTGCGCTCGAATTAATGATAATTAGTTCTAATATATGTTGATTATTAACATAGAACCTAGTTAGACATACCTGATAAAATTTGCAAGGGAGTAAGCTTTCCTTGCGTACGTACCTATCAATAGCTAGGTTTTTTTTTTGCGGGATATCTGCTTCCCCTATATACGCTTTTCGTACACACAAATAGACTCACACACGTATGTATATATATTCCCACGTGTGTCAGTGTACGACTTAACACAGGGATCATCTATCATCAAGGTGAAGTGGTCATGATGGGGAAGATGGGCACATGAAGAACTAACTCAATTATCATCACACTCCACACACATCTTTATCATATACATACATTTGGGGAGAGTGTGTATATATGTGGGCTAAGAGATGAGTTAGTAATGCACGTGCCCTGCTTCTCCATCTTGCTCAGCGCACCTTCTTCGTCATTCACTCCTGTCTCTGATCCGACCACTTAACAACCGGTTGTGTATGTGTGTGTGTGTGTGAGAGAGAGAGAGAGAGAGAGAGAGAGAGAGAGAGAGAGAGAGAGAGAGAGAGAGAGAGAGAGAGAGAGAGAGAGAG